TTCAGCCCTTTTTCTGGCTGTTAGCTTCTTTGGAGTGTTGTTGCAGCACCACCGAGCCTCCGCCTGCACCTGTCTGGCGCCGGAACTGCCTGCCTACTGTACGACTGACTTCTTTCTGGTGGCTGACATTTTAGGTGAGTGTTTTGCTGTTGGTTCCTCTCAAACAGCTATTTTAACATTTTGTATTCTTTGTAGGCAAAACTGAAAACAGCCAACGCACTTTGGATCGGTACCGCTTCAAGCCGGTCCACATCATCGTCGATCCGCAGAAGGTGATTTCTGGCAGAAAGCTGAAAGTGTTCATCACCAGCGCCGCCTCCTCGGCCTGCGGTGTGGAGCTGGAGGTAGGCGAGCGGTACTTGATAGGAGGCATGATCAGTCCAACCAGTCCCAATCGTCTTCGACTGGACCTCTGTCGCTCTTACGTGCAGCTACTTCCAGGCAAAAGGGAGGAGTTTTCCAACTTGAACACTACTACTGGCAACAGTCAGTTTGATGACCTTTTGCAGAATTGTGCCAAAATTAATTTGATTGAAAAGTGAGAATGCAACATTTTTATTTGTCATTGATAAAATAAAACATTAAGACTTTATTTGCATTGCTGATTTTTTTCAAGTTAATATTTTAATATTTTAAAAATAAAAAACTTGATTGATTTTAAAATAAGTTGGTTTTTTGATATATTTTTATCATTGACATTTTACGATGAAAAAAATTTACAGTACATTCATATATGCGTAAAAGATTTTCCACTAGAATATGTTTGTGCATTTATGTCAAAATAAAAAAAGTAAGAAATAACTAAAAAAGTTTTACAAAAATTCAAATAAGTTCAGGTTTAAAAAAGCAAACTTGTTTAGTAAAATTTTTGTATTTTTATGTTTTTGGTATTGTGAATGTGGCATTGTGAAACGATCCATCTGAGTATACTTTTAACACAACAAAAATGATAAAGAAAAAAATGTTCCTAAACTGTTTTACTATTTCCTGAAGTTTCTACTCTCTTTTTCTACTCAACCTTCTTAGCGGAAGCTTTGGAGGCGGCCGCCTTGGCAGCGGCAGCGTTTTTTTCATCATAGGATTTTTTGTAGAAGTTGTAGAAAAGGCGGAAGAAGAAGAAGGGCTGCGTCATGCCAAACCAGAACCAGAACTGCGGATAACCCTCCTGCTTGAAAACCATGATGATGCCGTAGAAAATGCCAAAGACAAACTGGCCAATCTGCATCTGGGTGATGTACTTCTTCCACCAGAGGTACTTGCGCACTGAGGGTCCCAACAAACAGAGACCGTAGTAGCTGCAAATTGAGAAGTGTTTGGGTTAGCCAATTTGGGTTTTGGGAAAATGCTGAAATAAGTATAGCAGTACCTGTACATGATGACGTGAATGGTGCCGTTGATGAGGCAGAAAAGGCCGGTGGCCGGCATCACTGCGTTGTGCTTCAAACACAGATATCCGAAGATAGGCACCACGGTGTGGTGGTAGAGGTGCAGAAAACCTGGGAACAAAATTTAATGAGTCAATTCAAATCAAAAAGACCTTGTAAGCACCAACCTAGATGCGTCTCGTGCTTTTTTCGGAGGACGAAGAAAACGGTGTCGAGGAGGTCGAAGAACTTGGTGATCCAGTAGTACCAGCCCATGTTCAACTCGTACATTGCTTTGGGACTGTTGTTGTTTCGGTCAGGGTACTTCCAGTCGACGAAACGCTGGCCGTACTCGCAGTGCAGCAGCACCAGGAAGACAAAGTAAGCGTTGAGCAGCGCCATGGTGAAGTTGTAGAAGAGCATCACCGGTTTTAGGTTCTCAAATGGTTTTCGGTTGCGCATCAGCCACGGTCCCAACGAGAGGGCAAAGTACAGGTAGAAGCCCATGAAGGCCAGCAGGGGATAGGGGGTCACATTGACGAAGGGAAAGTCCGCCGTCCGCGGGTCCTGCGCGTCGATCCAGTACTGGTACAGAGGGTATCCTGCAAAAAAA